AACGACAGGGTTTAAAAATAGCCCTAGGGGCAAGGCCCAGGGCGGCCCCGGGGATAGGCACCGGGGTAGGCTTGGGTGCAGGCCCTAGGGTAGACGCCGGGTAGGCGTAGGCCTAGGGGTGAGCCCCATGGCAGGCCGACGGTAGGCCTGGGGGAGGCCCTAGCGGGGGTAAGCCCCAGGGTAGGTGTAGGGTAGGCATGGAGTGCAATCGTTAGGGTATGCCCATGCGTAGGCCCAGGAGTGAGCCCAAGGCCCTAGGGTCCCTAGGGCGGGCCCAATGCAAGCCTTGCCCGGGCGATCCACATGCGCAGCACCCCCCTCGCCCCCCGCCCCCTTTTCTGCGAGGGCGTGACGAGCGGGCTGCCCGCCGTCATTCGCTGGGCAAAGCTACGGTAGACGCAACTTGGAAAATAATGAAAACCAGCCGCCGCCACCCCCGACCCCCCTTTCCCGACTTAAAAGAAGACCGGGCGCTGGATCCGCCCTCGGCCCGGCGCCTTTCCGGGCTCGGCTCCACGCCTGGCCCAACGTCGTGCTCGCGCGGCGCCCCCGCGCTCATTTCGGCGCGCCGCTCGCGCGTTTCGCGCCCCGCAGGGGGCTCCACCCATGACCCCAGCGGGTACGTCCGCACGGCGCCGCCGCGCCCATGTCGGCACGCCCCTGAACGCGCTTCCTGCTTATACTCGCCCCGCGTTCAAAAAAATCTGGGTTCTTCGTCGGGCTGTAGGCCGACGCTTAAGCTCGCGGTCGCGGTCGCGGTCGCGCCGGCGGTCGCGTTGGCGATTGCGCTGGCGGCTGGGCTTGGGCGGGGGGTTGGTGGAGGTTGCGCTGGCGAGTGAGCTGGCGATTGCACTGGTGGTTGCGCCGGCGGTTGCGCCAGTGATTGTGCTGGCGGGCGCGCTGGTCATTCCGCTAGCGATTGCGTCGGCGGGCGCGCTGGCGGTTGCGCTGTTGGTCGCGCTGGCGGTTGCACTGGCGGTCGCACTGGCAGCTGCGCTGGCGGCTGCGCTGGCTGTTGCCCTGACGGTTACGATGGCTGTTGCGCCGGCGGTTGCGCTGGTCCCTGCGCGTGCGCTTGCACTGGCGGTCGCGCTGGCGGCTGCGCTGGCGGTTTTGCCAGCGGTTGTGATGACGGCCGCGCCGGTTGTTGCGCGGGCGGTCATGCCGGCGGTTGGGCTGGCGATTTGCTGGCGGTTGCGATGGCGATTCTTCCTCATCATTGGCCGAATACACGCGGGCGCGACCGCCCGTCGGGCGCCCCTTCTCGCGACGGCAGCGCGCGGGGCGTGAGTCCGCGGGCGCGCGGCATTTACACTATCACTGTCTTCTTCTTCGCGCGCGCGCGGGACGCGACGGCGGCCGGCTAGGCCGCGCCGCCGGCGGCGGACGAATTAGAAGTGCCGGGCGGGGGGGCGTCGCATAGCGACGGCGGCGCAGGACGGGCGCGCGCGCGCGCCGACGCAGGCAGAAGCAGCGCGTGCATAGGTGATGCCGACGGCGAGCTAAACGACGAAGGCGCCAAAAAAGAACGGGAAGGTAAACGCGGCACAACCGCCACTTTGAGCCGTTTGCGGTCATTGGTCAGATGTGCGTGCTCCTTGTGCATCTTCACTTGGAGCTTGGCTCTCTACCTCCCAGCGAACCACGTAACCTAACCGCGAACCGCAGAACCGAACCGACCGAAGGAGAACCGACGGAACCGGAACCCGTCAGAAACCCGACGCAAACCGAAACCAAGCCGAACCAGAGGCGGTGAAACCGAACCGGGCCCGAACCGGGAACCGAACCGGGAAGCGGTCGTAGAGGTGGACCCTTGGGAAATGCCCGATGCGAGCGCCCACTCTTGCGCTAGGTCCATCCCACCCGCTCCCAAATCCTCCCCTGCGCCCCGAGCTCCCTCGTCCTGTTTTGCCGCTTGTCCAGGGCCGAACTGGGGACAGAAGGGCTGCGGAAAAGCTGAAATCGCATCTTTGGACGGTTCGAACATGCGCTTTGGGCCTCCAAGTGGTTTTCGGAGCCTCCAAGGCTGCTCTGGGGATGGCAGGGCAGCGGAAAAGCTCAAATCGCATTTTTGGACGGTTCGACAATGCGCTTTGGGCCTTTAAGTGGTTTTCGGAGCCTCCAGGGCTGCGCTGGGGACGGAAGGGCGGCGGAAAAGCTCAAAACGCATGTTTAGACATTTCGAAAATTCGTTTTGGGCCTCCAGGTGGTTTTCGGTGCCTGCAAGGCTACTCTGGGGACGGTAGGGCGGCGGAAAAGCTGAAGTCGCATTTTTGGACGGCTCGAAGTTGCGTTTGGGGCCTCCAGGTGTTTTTTTCGGGGCCTCCAGGGCTGCACTGGGGACGGAAGGGCGGCGGACAAGCTCGAATGGCATTTTTGAACGGTTCGAAAATGCGCTTTGGGCTTCCAGGGGCCTTCGGGGCCTCCAGGGCCGAACTGGGGGCGGCGGCCGGGGCTGGGCCCCCACCATCCTGCGCGCGCCCGGCGAGGGCGCGGGCGCGCCCTTGCCTTCCCAGTTGACCCATGCCAGGAATGACTGGTCCGTACTGTCCCAGACCGTAGTCCAAGCGTTTTCTATCCCAGCGCTGGGGGATCGCCCGCCGTCGCCAGAGCCCCCTGGTCCAGGGGGCACGATGCTGTCGACTGGTCCGTCGAGGGCACCATGCGTAACGTCTGGGCCCAGTGGCTTCCCTGGCTCGTCGGGTAGCTGGGCCCAGTGGCTCCCCTGTCCCCAGGGTTCCTCCTGACTCCTGGTTGAACTGAACCTCCAAACGCCTCCATATGATCATGTAGACGCACGCGCGCACACGTCATCTGCAAGAACCGAGAACCGAACTGGAACCGGCTGAAACGGAACCACCCTCTGAATGGGAACCGCGTCAAACAGCTCCGAAGCCGGAACCGTATTGAACCGAACCAATTTCCTCCGAACCGAAACGAACGGAACGGAACCGGGGACACGCTGACCTCCCCGATATTATCCGCGATGCCACGCGTGCCTTTCGTCATTGCGTGCGCTCGGTGAGTGGCTGAGGCCGAGAAGAACGATTTATGCCAAAATGCTGACAGAACGACGGGATGAGCTACGCGCTGGTGGATTCGGCTACTGATGACGGCGCGAACCAAGTGTCTACGAAAAGTGGAGTGCAACGGCCCACGACAAGATCGTACCGAGGCCCCGAGGGGCCCCCAAGAGCCAGGCGTCCCCAAAAGCCCCCAAGAGGCCCCCGGGAAGCCCGACGAGGCCCCACAGAGGCTCCCAGGAGCCCCCAAGAGGCTCCTACGAGGCCCCAGAGATGGCGAGGCCCAATTTGAGTCTGCGGCAAGGGCCCACTATGCTGCCGAAAGTGGCGACAGTTTCACAGATCGCAGCCCCCCGGAGATGGCGAGGCCTAATGTGAGTCTGCGGCAAATACCCACTATGCTCCCCCCCAGCAGCCTTCGGAAGTGGCGACAGTTTCGCACATCGCGCCCCCCTAAGGATGGCGAGGTCTAGTTTGAGTCTGCGGCAAGCACCCACTATGCTGGTCCCCCCAGCAGCCCTCGAAAGCGGCGACAGTTTCGCACATCGCAGCCCCCCAGGGATGGCGAGGCCGCAGGCAGGTGCGAGAGAGGTGACACAAGGTAGAAGGAGAAAGAGAGAGAGAGAGAGAGAGAGGACGAACACAAAAACAATGCGTAAGTGCAAGAGGAGGCAGGAGGGAGGCGGGAAGGAGGAAGAAGGACGCGCGAGCAGTGCTCTGTTCAAAACGAAGACCCAACCAGAGGAGGGTTGGGAATAAGCAAGAGGCAAGGGCAGGAGGAGGCAGGAGGAGGGAGGCGGGAGGAGGCGAAGGACGTGGTGACCACAGCGCTCCGTTCAAAACGAATACCCAACCAAGGAGGGTCGGGAAAAAAGAGGGCCTGGAGGGTGGAGAGGATGTCTCGGGAGAGAAGGGGCGACCAGCGAGGGCCCAGCGTCAAGAAGAGAAAGGAGAGGGGCAGCCGGGGAAACGACAAAACTCATCCCATATCCTTACGTTTCTGTTCGTCTTCTGGATCCTCCAATTCCCTCCGCTCCTGCCGCTTCTCAGTCAACCCACTCCCCATGTCCCTCCCGGCATTCCCACTCCTCCTGACCCCCATGATCCTCCTCATCCCCATCAATTTGATCCTGCTCATCCCGTAGTTTCCGCTTCTCATGCCTCCCGTTCCTATCCCTCCTTCTCTCCATCATCCTCCTGATCCTCAGCACCATCAACACCATCATCCTTATCCTCATCCCCATCATCATACTAGTCCTCATTCTCGCCTCCCCCTCCTCCTCATCATCGGCAGCGTCAACATCGTCATAATCACCATCATCATCATCATCATCATCATCATCACCACCACCATCATCATCATCATCATCATCATCATCGTCATCAGCATCATCAGCATCATCATCATCATCATCATAATCATCGTCATCATCGTCATCAGCATCATCATCATCGTCATCATCATCATCATCATCGTCAGCATCATCATCATCATCCTCATCATCATCATCATCCTCATCATCATCCTCATCCTCATTATCAGGCTCGTCATCATCATCATCGTCGACAGCAGCAGCCGCATCATCATCAGCAGCAGCATCAACATCGTCATCATAATCATTGTCTTCGTCATCATTATCGACAACAGCACCGTCATCATCATCATCAGCATCATCACCATCACCAGCACCATCACCATCATCACCATCAGCATCATCATCACCATTATCATCAAGCAGTCAACCAGAAAACAAACAATCAATATGTCATCATCATCATCGCCACCATCACCATCATGATCAGCATCACCATCATCATCATAATCATCATCATCACCACCATCCTCGTCATCATCATCGTCACAATCATGTACTGCTCCTCGATGCCCTCCCCCTCGTTCAACCCCTGCTCTCACGTCGTGGACCTCACCGCATGAAGTCCTCATCCCCCTCATCCTGTCGTCAGAAGAGTGGCGACCTGGGGCAGCTTGTGGGAGATAATACCGTTGAGCATGAGGTAGTATAGGCTATTGGGCAGCTTCTCCCCCATGATGTTAGTGAAATCCGATGGCACCTGCCGCTGAGCATAGCTGGAGCAGCGGGGAGAACAAGAAGACGAAGGGTGCGAGGCAGGTTTGGGAGAGAGGGGAGAGCCAAGAGGGAGAGGGCGAGGGCGGAAAGGCGGGGGAGGAGGAGCAGGAGAGAGAGGAGGAGGGGGGAAGCGAGGAGGAGAGGCGCAAGTCGGGGGAAGGGAAGAGAAGGAGGAGTGAGATGGAGGAGAAGGAGAAGGACAAGGAGGAGGAGGAGGAGGAGGTGGAGGAGAGACGAGGAGGGGGAGAGTGGGGGAAGCCGGGGGGCAGGAATGATGTGTGATGTTGGGCAGCGTCTCCCCCATGACCAGAAGGCATCTGCCGCTGCGTCAGCGTGCTTCCATACTTCCAACCTCTCAGCGTCGATGAGACATTCTTTCCACCTCCCCCAGGAAGTAGGTTGCACGTGGCGGGGGGGAGGGCTGCACAGAAGAAGCACAACAAAAACGCCAACGTAAACATTTAAGTGTTTTTGTTGTGCTACCTCGGGCATGATGGCAGTAATATGACTAGAATAATTGGCCAATAATATTTCCCCCCAGACGGCTCAAGATGCACCCAAGATGGCCCAGGATACCCTCCAAACAATGCCCGAGGAGGCGCAAATCATTGATTTTCGATCTGCTTTTGAAGGATTTGGGCGCTCCAGTTTGTTCGACCTTCCGACGGCCCTAGAGGCCCCCAGGATCGCCCCAATGGCCTCCAAGATGGCCCTATGACAGCCCAAGAAGGTCCTGAGACGGCCCCGAAAGGGTCCCAAGACCGCGTCACAGGCCCCCAAAACGGCCAAGACAGCCTCCAAGACGGCCCTGAAGCGCCCCCCAGGTGCTCCCAGACGGCACAGCGAGGCGCTTAAGACGGTTTCCGACTGCGTCAGACGGGCCAGGAACGCTCTGAGACAGCCATGAAGCCTTCCAGGAACCCTCTAAAAGGCTCAAAGATCCCCTCAAGAGGCCCCAAGAGGGCCCAATAGGCCTCCAACCGAACCAGAGCATCATCGGGAACGCCCCAGATCGGCGGCACTGGCTGGAGGCCACTACAATATGATCAGAAGCATTGACCAATAATGTCTCAAGGCTGCGGATGCTAATCGAAACGAATTCTTAAATCGAACCCACTCCTGTCGTTGGCCGACAGCAGCGCCGGGAAACTCTCTCGCAAACGCCCCTTAATGTGTTCGTTTCGCCTCGCATCGCGGTTGGTCTCACTCACTTACTCACTCCCCCTTTTCCTTCTCCGTTTTCGTTCACAACTCTACCTCCACCCCTTCCTCCTCCTCCTCCTTCTCCTCCTCCTCCTCCTCCTCCTCCTCCTCCTCCTCCTCCTCATCATCATCATCATCATCATCATCATCATCAGCAGCATCGCATCATTATCATCATCATCACCACCACCACCACCATCATCATCATCATCGTCGTCGTCACCACCACCACCACCACCACCATCATCATCATCATCATCATCAGCATCATCATCATCTTCATCATCATCATCATCTTCATCATTATCATCTTCATCATCATCGTCATCGGCATCATCATCATCATCATCATCGTCATCATCATCATCATCATCATCATAATCATAATCATCATCCCTCTCCTCCTCCTCCTCCTCCTCCTCATCCTCCTGTTCCTCCTCCTGCTTTTCCATTTTCCTCCTCTTCCTCTTCCTCCTCCTCGTCCTCCTCCCCACCGACCCCATGTCGAAAGCTTCCCGCAGCCTCTGGGTGGATGTTGTGCAGTACGCATGGAATGCTGGAAAGGGCGTGCGCATCGCGCGCGCCCGAGGAACCCCCGCACAATTACCCCAGGGTTTTAGGAGGCCAGGGCGACACTGGCACACGAGGTTTTTATTTCAAGGACAGCTCGGCGGCAAAACCGGTTGTCCTGCACACTTCGAGGTACTTACCCGCCTCGATGTGCTCAATTCGAGCCCTTCACCTCGAGGCCTTCACCTCGAGGTCGTACACTTCGAGGTCGTCCCATCTCGCGGACAAGTGGGTCCAATGATGGTTCCCTGGCCGCCGTCGCACTATCCCCGCTGGCTTCGCCCACCGATCACCACTGCACCGTCAGTGTGCATTCGCGGCAGTAGGGCGTCCGCGGCGAGGCCCAGAAGGGCAGCCCAACACGGCTGGCCCAACCACGTTTCCCACTTCTGCCGGCCCAGCCCCATGCAGCCACTGACTGTCTATCCCTCTCCACCTCGTCCATGCGCTCCTCCGCCAGGCCCCAAGGCGGGGCAACTCACTGCGTTCCCCGCGCCTGCGCGATCTCCTTTTCCCGAATGCGCTTGCCTTCTTCTTTCCACCAGCCCTTCCGCTTGCTCCCACGCTCAGCCCCAAACCCGCCCTCCCTTCCCACCTCGTCCGCCAGCCCCTCCGCCCAACCCCCAGCAGGCCTGCTCCACTGACCCTGCTTTCCCCATTTCTTGGGTACCCACGGCCGCCAGCGTGCGCCCCGAACGGTGGGGAACGGCACTGTGGAGTAGGATGCCAGCCGCGCTTCTGCTTGGCCACCAGATGCCACGCGTCATCATCACCTGCAGCGTCTCTGGACCATTGCCTGGACTGTGGGCTATACCTAGCTTGCCCGCGGCCCGCTGTTTCCGCCAGACCGGCTCAACAAACACGGCTGGAAATCTGGCATCCGCCACGCGCAGCTTGCAGGCCACTTCTGGGGTCCAGCTTGGTGGGGTGGTGGCAACGGCTGCCACGGTCCGCATTCGCTCCGTTGCTTAGCCCACTCGGTATCTGCAGTGCCGCCAGAAGATACATCGTCTTCGTCGTCGCTGGTACTCCACTGGGACTGTGTGTATAGGCCACGCAGTGCAAACAAGCACGCGGCCCATCGTTTCGGCAAAACCCGACTCAACAAGCACAGCTGGAGTGCTGGCAGTCGACTAGGAGCAGTCCGTAGGGTAGCAGGGAGGACCTGCCCCCTCTCGCCCCTCTTTCCATTCTACGTACTTCGAGGTTCCCGCCTCGATGCGCCCAATTCGAAATCGCTCACCTCGAGGTCGCGCGCCTCGAGGTCGATCCACCTCGTGGACGCTCGGGTGCGATGTCAGCTCCGCGGCCGCCGTCGCACTGCCCCGGCTGGCTTCGCCCGCCGAATCCCGCTGCGCCGCCGCTGCGCTTTCGCGGCCGTGGGGCGCCCGCGGCGGGGCACGAAAAGGCAGCGCAGCACGGCTGGCCCGACCTCCTCTCCTGCCCCTGCCGGCCCAACCAGAGGCAATCCTCGTTCGCGCGATCCTCCGCCCAACCCGTTGCGGGGCCGTTCACTGCCTTCCCTCGCCCCCCTCTCGCGGCGGGCGACCCCCATGCGCCACATGCGCTTCCCTTCGCGGCTGCCCCACTCCCGTCCGCTTTCCCATCTGCGCGGCCCTGCCCCCCCCCCCCCTTCCCGCCTCGCCCGCCCGCTCCTCCGCCCCACTCCCGGCAAGCCCGCGCCGCTGACTCTGCTTCCCCCCTGTGGGGCACGGCGCCAGCCGCGCATCCGCGCGCTACGAGAGGGCACGCGTCATCAATAACTACTGCCTCATCGTCTCTGGAACGTCAACAAGGCAGTGAGTTGAGAAGACCCCCCTTCTCCCTCTTTCAATCCCGCCCCCTTCTGCCCCCCTCTCTGTCACGACCATGCTTCCGCTACTTGAGCTTGCTCCGCATCTGCGCTGCCGCCAGATGGCCCATCATCCTTGTCATCGCCGGTGCTCTGCCAGGACTGCGGGCTAAGGCTATGCAGCGCATGCCCAAAAAGCCCGCGGCCCGTTGCGCCGGCCAGGCCGACTCAACAGTTGCGGCGGGGTTCCGGGCGTTCGCAGCGCCGAACCAATTGGGCTCAGACTTTGGCCTCTGAGGAGTTGAACGGCATCGCCTGCCAGGGTCAACCATTTGGGCTGAGGTGCCAAGCGCACTCCTGCATTGCAATCGAGGGCCTGGCTGGTGCCCAATTTAGCGGGAGTGAGGGCATGGGGCGCGGGGCCACTATTACATATTGCCACGGGTCCGCCAACCGCCGAGTGGGGCCGCGACCGCTTCTGCAGTGATCAATCGGGCCCTCCGCAGCTACAGCGGCGTTGGCCCCCCATGCGATGGCGGCGCAGCTGCGCCTCTGCGCGGAGCCCGATCAGCGGGGTAGAACGCCGTGGAAATGAAGCGGGGCGGCCTCGGACAATTTGTGCATATGCACACCCAGGGGACATGTTGAGAAATTGCCTGGGTCCAGATGCGCGCGCCCCCTCTACAATATATCCCTTCCGCGTCCTCCCCCAGCGCCCCGCCTCGCTCGCCTGCTCCTCCGCCCAGCCCCCAGCAGGCCCGCTCCGCTGACTCTGATTATCCCTATACTTGGGTGCCCATTGCAACCGGCGCTGGTCCCGAACAGAAGGGGAAAGGCACTGAGCGGGGTGCCAGCCGCGCTTCTGCCCGGCCGCGGTGGCGCGCATCATCATGACCTGCTGCCGCGTCGTTTCTGAGACGTCCATAGAGTAGCTGGGGGGCCTCCCCCCCTCCTCCATCTTTCAATCCTTTCCCTCCCTGCCCTCCCTTTTGTCGCGGTCATCGTTCAGCTCCTCCGATATCTACATTGTTGAGAAATTGCACATCACCGTCGTCGTCACTGGTACTCTGCGTGGACTCTGGGTGGCTGCCATGCAACGCATGCCCAATCAGCCCGAGGTCCATTGAGTCGGCCAAACCGACTCCACAGTCACGGCAGGTTTCTTGGCGCCCGCAACGCAGCGCCTGTTAGGCTAGGACTTTGGCTTCCGAAGAGTGGGGCGGCATCGCCTGCCAGGGTCAGCCATTTGGGCTGACCTGCCAAGCATGCTCCTGGCCTGGCTGGCGCGCAACTTGGCGGGGGCAAGGGCGCGGGGCGCGGGGCCGCGGGTACCTCGGATCCGCCATGCACCAAGTGGGGCCACGACTGCTTCTGCAATGCTCAATGGGGCCCTCCGTAGCTGCGGCGGTCACGGACCCCCCATGCCATCGCGGCGCAGCTCCGTGACAGCGCGGGCCCCGATCAGCGGGGCAGTGCAGCGAGAACGCGGAACGTGGCGGCTGCGGACACTTTTCGAATATCTACATCCAGGGGGCAGACGTGTTCAAAAATTGTCTGGGTCCAGGTGCGCGCGCCTCCTCTCCGCTCTTCCTCCTTGCGTCCTCCTCCAGCGTTCCACCTCGCTCGCCTCGGAATCTGCCTGCTCGAGGCCCCTCGCTCTCCTTGGCCTCCGCGGGGAAGTCGGCCTCCGACGTGCGTCTGCGTGAGCGACTCTTGTTCGATGCTCGGCGCCGACCTCATTTCCTGATTAGCCGCGCCCCTGGGATATTCCAGGCGAGGGCCTCCCCAGGCGTCGCCCAGCGCAGTTGATCTGGTGCCGCGAGGATCTGCTGCCCCCGGCAGTTCAACCAGATGCTGCGGCCCTGGGGCCGCCCAGCATCTCCACTCGGAACGTCGTGGCCAATTGCTCTGCACACGCCGTGTCGGCGACCGACTCCTGGGCGCCGAGTCTTAGCTGGTCGCTGCTTCCGGCGAAGATGCACGAAGCTTCCTGGTCCTGGCGGCCACGGTCCTCTCATCGGTCGACTGCGAGCCAACGTCGCTCGCCTCGCGCGGTCGTCGCCGCCCACCTCGATATACGCCTTGCGCGCCGCGTCTCTCAGCGCCGCCCGATTGGCCATCGCGCCCCCAAGTGTCAGGATGGCCTCGTGCGCCTCTAAACGGCCCGCTTCCGCTGGATCAATCCGACTGCCTGGAATCCGCACGTCGCGACCGAGAACCCACTGCGCTGGAGCAAAGCCGCCTCTCCGCATGGAATTATTCGCCTTGTTCGTCTCGGCCGCGCTGATCTCCAATCCGCCCTCGGCGGTGAGCTGCTTGTCGCAGCACGCGCGTCTCCAGAGCTCCTTCTGGACGCCGCCAGCTCGCTCGCATCGCCCGAGGTGGCGGTGCTGCTGTGCTGCTCGGCGCTGGTGAACTCGCATTTCATCCCGCGCGCGATCAACCGCTCCCCGACGTGGGCCATGTTGTTACGGGCCTGGTCCATGAAAAGTCGGCAGGGCGTGCCTGCCCACGACACCCACCTGGACATGAGCACCTCATATATCTCCTTGCCTGTAGGATTCCCTCCACCATAGCGTCACAGCGCTACTTGCTGGTGCCCTGTCCCGTCGCACACCACGTTGAGGAATGAGACGAGTGCGGTTGACCGTGTACTGCTCGAGAACATCGATCTCGATGAGATAATTGAACTCGCGCGGCGTCACCGGCAACTTGGCAGGTCTGGACGTAGTTGGTCTCGCCATACTGTCGCGCGCGCTGCACCACAAACGCCCGCAAGCCTTAACGGCCTTGGGCGTGGCTCGACCGTGCCGTAGCAACCTCTGGGATGCCTCGTTCGTCGGGCGCCCTGCCGTCGCATGTAGGTGTAGCAGTGCCCTCCGTAGGCCTGCATCCACTGCCTTCCAGGCCCTGCGTGCCCCTTCATCTTTAAGTCGTCGTGGTTCGTCGCGTGGTGGAGGGGGCGGCGGCGCTGGCATCGCGCCGACGTCTGGCGGGGCGGGCCCCCTTGGAAGGGTTGCTGTTGGCCGCTCGTCCTCGCCAGACTCATTCGGCGCACGGTGCAAAATGGTTTTGCCGTGCCAGCGCGACACGGGCGGAGCAGGGTTGATCTTCCATTCGTCCTGCTCGTGGATGCTCTGTCCGTTGTCGTCGATGCCCACAGTCTCGCGATCTCCTGTCAGTCGTGCTTGCGTCTCTTGGGAGAGACTCCTCGGGTCGGACTTGGTGTCCATCCACGTATTGTGAGCCACGAGAATGTAGCTTCCAGGCTCGTCGGCGCACTCGTAGGCCGCGTCGACACTGGCGGAGCCCCCGCGCAGCGGCCTCATGCGGACCTCGTCGTGGAGCTCCTGGACCTCCGCTGGAAACGCGAGCTGCTCGGGGTGCCTTTCGAGTGGCTCCTCGCGCGCGCCCAGCGAGATGTCCTCTGCCAGCTCCAACGGGCACCGTCCTGCCTGCTCACTCTGAGCTCCGTTTGCACTGTGCCCCTCAAGCATTTCGCACCCACGTCGTGCATCGCACCTCCGCATGGCCCTCTCCGCGAGCGCGCCCTCGTTCACCTCGCGGTGCCCACTCGGCCTCAGGAAAGGCCGTCGCCCCTCGGTGCCCCTGAAGTTCCACAGGAACGAATCTCTCCGGACGAAATCCATCTCCGGGTCCATCGGAGCTCCCTCCAGCGCGGGGTCCTCGCAGGCGTCGTTCGCCCAGGGGTTCTACGGTTCTACATCGAAACAAGCCTCCCACGCTTCAAGCAGTGCTTGGTGAGCCTCGCACTGAACTCCAACAGCGGCCGCGCTCTCTCCCGCTTATTCTCCGCTCGCGCTGCGTGTGAACCTCCGCGCGCGATTTGGAAGCGGGGCCAACCGCCCCGCGGTCCGCGCGGCCACGGGGCGATCGCCAACCACGGGTCGTCACGGTTCAACTAACTGCTCGAACACCCGCTCCTGGTTCGACGGGCCGAGGTAGTCGAAGCCGTCCAGGATGTCGTCCGGCTGAGACACGGGCATATCCATGACCGTGGCAGCGTGCCACGTGGCTCCCAGCATCCCACATAACAAGTCCTTGACGAAGGTCTGGCCAGGCCTGAGACAACTCCGGGCCTTCCTGATCACGCGCCCCTTTGGGCCATCGCCCTCGCCGATCACCGCGCGCAGCCGCCCGGGCGCAATCCTCGTCGCCGAACATATCCGTGTGTTCCTGTCGGATGCTCTTACCCTTGCTCGCCGTCGCTGTCCGTCGAGGCACCTCGTGGATGGGCAAATTGCCAACTGATGCCTTCCTCTCGACGTCCTCCACGGCCTCATAAACCACGGCGTCCGCACTCAGTACCGCGACGGTATCCTTATCCAGCCGCTCCGGCTGGTCAATGCCCAAGCGTGCGAAGTCAGTGATCTTCGCGCCCCAGCGCCCCTCGCTCGCCCTCCGCAGTTTCACTCCGCTGCCCCACTGGGGCCGAGCTTCCCGAATTCCGCCGCCTCCCTCGACGAGGTCGACGACCATGCCCAGCGCCTTCTGCGTCTTGAGCGACAGCAGCATCTTCGAGGGTGGCCCCGGGATTCGATTCGAACTGATCTCGCCATTCTCTCCACCGATGCCGATCGGCAGTGCATCTCTGAACTTCGCCTCCTTGCGTTCCCTCCCGCCAAACCGATGCTTCACCTTGCATTGGTGAGACTCGATGCACAATTCATACTTCTCGTTCAGCATCGCCGAATACCGCACCAGCCGCTCGTCGCCGTGCATGGTGCTCGTGCGCGTCGTGTCCAAGCGAGCGATCTCGTCGTCGTCGCACTCACTTTGATCGTCAACGACACCAGCCATGGCCGCGAACTCCTCGAACTCCTGCCCCCCGGGCCCCGCGATCGACATGTAACTAAAACGCCTCTCGATCTGTCCGCGATGATATTTCTTGCTCGTCGGAGAGTACCTCTCCGCTGTTCGCGCGCTGCAGTCGCACTTCCACGCGATGGCATGCAGGTTCCTGTAACCTTGAACCATCCCGCCATCAGGGCATCGTCGGCGCCGTCTGGGGTCGTCAGGCGGCCACTTCGGCTTGATGAGCCACAGCCTGATCCCACCCTCTGCCGCGTCACACTCGCCGCGCGTCTTCGGCGTCCCCAGGGCGCTCGCCTTTGGAATCGCTGGCGCTTGGCCGTCGTCTTGGACCGAAATGCACGCTCCTCCGGCTCGTACGTGGGTAGTCGTTCCTCCTTCACTTGCAATCCACACTCTGCTTGCTTGCGACCCACTGCCGCTCGCTCCGCTGGACGTCGCCGCGGCCGCCGCATCGGGACAACACCGACAGCTCCGAGCGCGGCCCCCTCGGCCGACACGCGCGCCGAAACCCTCGCGCGCGCAATCCGCGACGCAGCGGGGCTTGCCGCGCCTCCTCAGGGCCCCCGTGCCCGACTGGCGCCCGCTGCTCTCCCGCGGCGCCTCGACGTTGGCCATGCCCTTGCCGCCCGCGCAATCCCTCGTCGGGCTCGGCGCCGGGTGCACTGGCGCTGCCGCCGCTGCCGCTGACGACGCCGGTGGCGGACCAAGCGCGCTCTGCCCAGGCGGCTCGTCCACCGCCCAGTGGTGCTCGGGCGACATGGAGCGCTTCTTGTCTTTGTCTCGGCCGTGTTCTGCTCCGCGCTGGCCGCGAAACGCGCCTCCTCGGCGTCGTCGTCCGCGTCGTCCCTGACGGCGAAGAAGCTCTTCTGACTCCTTCCGCCACCTCGTCCGTTACTTCATCCGCTACCGCCCTTGCCACCGCGCGGCTGGAATCGACCTCGGCCCCCGCGCGGCGGCAGCGAACGATCGGACTCGACGCGGCCAGGATCTCCAGCACAATAAGCGAGTGCTCCACATGCTCGGCATCGGGCATTCTTCTTCGACTCCTGGATCCACTTACTCCTATCTTCCGCCGCCTCCTGCTAGTCGCTCATCAACTTCCCTGAGCGACTGGACCTCCGAGCGTGATCTGTCATCTCGCGCCGCACCCCTCCGGGCGATATCTGCGCAGTCTGCTCCACGACGAGGCACTCGCTGAGCGCCGCCAGCTGCCCTCCTGCGTCTTCGCCACCCCCTTCGACCCCCTCCTGTAGCTCACCCAAATCGTCCTCGATATCCGTCATGCATTCGCCGTAGTCGCCGTCGTCTCCGTATTCGTCGTCCGGCTCTGGCTCTGCTTCATCTTGAACGTGTCTCTCAGCGAAGTAAGCGTGCCTTCTCTCGTGCTTTCCTTCTCGGCGATCGCGTCCATGTCGCGGGCGCCCCTCTGCCTCGCGTAGATCTGCAAACTGCGCTCGAGCGGCCTCCGCCAGCTTCTTCGGGGTCGTAGACATTACCGCAATCCGCAAGCAATTGGGATCGCTGAGATCAAGCCACTCAACTTCAACAGGACATAAACCTCGATATTGTCACTCAACTGCGTCGTCCTATCGGCGCCCAACAACTGCTATCGAATCTCGCTTCGTTTCGTCAGCCACGAACCCACTGCCTCCGCGCTGCGTCGGCTCGAACTGTCGACGTGCCCGCCGAAGAGCTCGCCCGCGCAATTCGGACCGATCCCTTGGATGGCCGCCTTCAACGCCACCGCGGTTGCCCCTATCCCTGAATCCATGCCCGGGTCCACCTTGTCGATGTTCGCGGCCTTGACCGCAGTATACGCTTTGCCTCTCGGAGCATTGTAGACTCTCGGGCCTAGCGGCCCCCTCTTCTTGACCGCGTCCTCTGTCGCGCCGGCACGCAACGCGTCAATCCTATCTAGGTACTCTTCCAGCAACTCTGGCGTGCCATCGTGCACTGGGATTCCCTGCTCGAAGGACAGCGTCGGCCTCGCACTCTTTGATCGAACATGCGAGGCGGTCGCACAATAGCAGTGCTCCAAAGAGCCCCCTGTGGGTGCACAGAGAGCCAGAAACAGCAGCTGCACGCTAGCATCACGCTAACATTCTTAGACACGGATGTTAGTTCATTTGCCATAGAATCGGAACGTCGGGCTCGTTCAGCGGAAAGCTGAAGCTGTCGTGCTGCTTGGCGATCGTCCTGTAACTTGGGAGGTCAGACAGACAGACAGACAGACAGACACACAGTCCCGCAGAAGGCATCTACGCGGGTGCAGCGGGTGGGCGCTGGGGCGCCGACGTTGGCCTCTCAGACTCTGGAGTCGGGACTTTGAGCAGCTGGGGTCAGAAGAGCGACATCGAGCGTCAGAGCCCGAGTCGGGCAGAACGCACGGGTTGAAGAGGTAGGAGCTGGCATCGGAGAGACGACAGTGGTAAATCGAAGCCGGATTCGAAACCGAGTGTTTCCATAGTGGCGCTCGGTGTACTTGTGCTTCTAAACGTACATGCTTGCATGTGTTTCCCTATTGTTTTTGCTTTTCCTTGCACCGTTCCTTCTTTTCAATGCCGACCTCGTTGATGACTGCTTCCAGCCTTGTTTCTGCCAGTTGTGCTGGTACTGATGACGGTGTCCAGCGGCGCGGTCCTCCCGCCAAGGGCACGGCCTTCCACCTACAGCGGGGCCTGCTGCAGGAGTCCTGGAAGCATGCCCCCCTCAATTCGAACTGCCAGAGGCCATCCTTCGGCTCTGGTGTTGTAGGGGGGTCTGGTGCTGCTGGTCACTCTCGTGCTGCTGCGCGGAACGGTGGCAATTGAGGATCTGCGCCGCGTCCAGCACGCGGAAGAGGGTCCTCGCGTTGGCCCTCGCCTCCCGCTGGCGCCTGTGCCAGGCGGGTTCGCCCTCGCGGGGCGTGGCGGCTGCGCGCCGCCGCGGCTGCGGCGCCAATGACGCGCTGCGCGGCCACGAGCGGCGGGGGCGACCGACGGCGGACAACGGCCCCGCCCCTCCTCAGCCCGTGGTTCCGCCTCGTCCTCCTCCTCCTCCTCCTCCTCCTCCTCCTCCTCCTCCTCCTCCTCCTCCTCTCGATCCTCGACCCGACTTTCGACCCCGCCACGAGCCCCGGCGCCGCCCGCCCGCGCCTGCGGCTGGTCGCCCCCCCTCGCCACCAGCGTCGTGTCGCCGAGCGGCCGCACGGTCGAGTCGCTGATGTGCAAGACTGGCGAGTTCTTCACCAGCACCTCTGCGTTTTTTATAATATATATATATACACATACATATATATATATATATACACACATATACATACATACATACATACATACATACATACATACATGCATACATACATACATACATACATACATACATACATACATACATACATACATACATACATACATACATACATACATACATACATACATACATACATGCATACATATACATATATATATATATATACATATACATATATATATATATATATCACAACGCGAAGCAACCCAGCCCATCGATGACCACGCCCTCGGACACCGCAAATCGTTGCAGCAGAGCTGCTCACCGCAAAATCGTTACAGCAGAGCTGCTCCGCAGCGCGATACCGAGAATTTCAGCGCGGACCGGGTGGACAGGCGGCCACCGTTCCCAGGGACCAGCGAAGAGACCCAAACAGCAGGAGGACCAGGAGAGAGAACAGGAAGGGAGGCCAGGAACGGCGGGGCAGGCCGAGGAGGCCGAGCCCTTCACCAGCACCTCTGCGGGGGAACGTTGGCAAAAATCGTGGGGGGTAGGGGTAGGGTTCACATGTGGCCCCTAATCGCGGATAGATCGGCGATACAGTCGGACTTCATGGGACGGGACACGCGAGAGGACAGAAGACCCTTCTGAGGGCCACATTGCCATAGGAATGCAGGAGGCACGGGTCGCGAGACACACGACACAAAGGTACCCTTGATTTGGCAGGGTAGACCTACTAATCTTAAGTCGGGCCTGTCCCCCTACAGGCGGATGTTCGACGAAACATCAAAAAAATACCCCCAAAATACCCCAAAAAGGTCAGAACGTACTCGAAAAATGGTCCCCAGTAGGCTCCCGGAGGCGGACCCGCACGCTCCTGGGCGGGGCGTGCCGGCGGGCCCCCACATCGAAGACGAGCAGGCGACTGGGCATCGCTGCACTCCCCCCTCGAGGATCCCCCCCCTGCACTTCCCCCGAAGGGAGCACGGGGAAGCAACGCCTGCATGCTCCCACCAGGAGGGCGATGCACCTCGTGGCAGGGCGGCCTCGCCGACACCCGCCCCTCCTCCTCTCCCTCCCCCTCCCCCCCTCCCCCCCCCTCCTCCTCCTCCCTCCCTCCTCTCCCCCTCCCCCTCCCTCTCCCTCCCCCTCCCTCTCCCTCCTCCTCCTCCTCTCTCCTCTCCCATCGCCCCTCCCGCTCCCGCACTCGGAGTCTGCGCTGGACCCCCCCCCCCCGCCCCGGCACTTCGGGCACCGCCGCTGGCGCGCGCATCGTGCGCAAAGGGCGGAGGGTCGAGCGCCGAACCAGGGAATCTGCGCGGACCTCCGAGAAAGCGGGGAGAGGAAGGACGAGGATCGAGGATCGAGTTCCGAGGAAGGATCGAGGAAAGAGGGGAGAGGAAGGATGAGGATCGAGGAAAGAGGGGAGAGGAAGGACGAGGAACGAGGAATCTGCGCGGGCAGAGGCTCCTGAGAGTCTTTCGCTTCTCTGGGCCCCCAGGAGACGTCTCGCCGCCACGGCTGGGTCCTGCACGCTCTGCCCGAGCTCTCCGATGTGAAGAGGGCAGAGAAGAGGAGGCCGGCTCGCCGTGCAACCGCCGCACCCGCTCACTTCGGGGCCCCAAAACGGTACGGCGACAGACCGTGCGGTGATCTCGGGACCCCCAAAAGACCTCGCCGCACGGCCCGCAACCGCACGATTCCGTAGACGACCGATGTCGCCCGAGACACCCTCGGAGAACGACCCGAGTCGCCAAACCGTTCGGCCACACCCCGAATCCCTACTGGCTCGCCACATGGAGTGGTCCTGAGGTGCGACGCTGCAAAACAGAAATGCGAAATCGCAAAAAATCACTACGGGAACACCAGACCCCACCTTTCTGCTGCATTATCCGAGCCGCATCGATATGTGAGGGTCCTGGGGCCGGGATCAAGGCAAAATCGACCGTTGCGAACGACCATTGCGACACCAGGATCTCAAGGTGGTCACCGTACCGTTTGAGGGCCCCCGAGCTCACGGGGGCCAGCCTCGGCCGACCAGCCAGCTCCGCACCCACGTCTCAACTGGAGCCCCGCAGCTGGGCCTTGAGCGCTGCGTTGCCTGCCTCGGCTCGGCGCACAGCGAGCCGTGCGCAGCCGCGGTTTGCCTCGAGCTCCTCCACGTCGCGCCGGAGGCTCTCCAGGGCCGCCTCCCAGGCCGCCACGCCAGAGGAACCAAAAAAACGGCGCGAGCACAGCCCTTCGGAGGCCTGCACGGATTTCTCGAACCGGCGCTGGCAACCCACCCTCCCACGAGATCTGGGCGTTGCAATATTCTGTCGCACCGAACATTTTCGCACCGTCCTCGGGCCCTGGGACCATCACAGATCGAGCGGGCTCGAACACTGCCACAGAAGGATGGGGACGCTCCGGTCGTGAGTCGTGACTTTCCGCGATCTTGCAGGCCATTCGCAACGTCGGATCTCAGGGTGGCGCGCGGCGCCCACCAGGGGCGTCGCGCGCCAGAGCGCCCGCCAGGGCATTCCTCTGGAACGACCCTGGTGCGCTCCGAGCGACGGGTTCCCAGCAAGCCGCAGAGGGAGTCTCCGGGAGGCCCGTGCGCGCGTCGCCCTTCCCTTCCTCGAGATGTCCCGCCGCGCACTGGCGCTGGCCGCCCCCAGCCGCCCCGCGACGCGCCTCTCCTCCATGCCGACAGCGGCCTGCGCGCCCCTGTGGCTGGCCTCCGCGGCCCCCTGCAGTCCTTCGGCCGCCGCTGCCGCTGCCGCCAGCTGCGCCACGCGCGCGCCGAGGTCCGCGTGGCGCGCGCGGAGAGCCTCGCGGCAGTCCAGACGGCCCTGCTCCAGCAGCGCGAGCTCGCCCCGCGCCCTGCTCTCGGCGCCCGCGAGCTGCTCCCTCTCCACGCCCTCGGCGCTGGAGCGCAGGTCGCGCTCCAGCGCGAGCCGCCTGACGGCGCCGGCGGCCTCTGCCTGCCTCCGCGCCGCCTCCTCGCGGGCGCGGTGCGCCGAAGCCTCCTCGCCCGCCAGAAGCGTGAGCAGGGAGCAGCTTCGCAGCTGGAGCTCCGCGTGGGCGGCACCCTTCGCCACCGCGGCGCCTCGCAGCTCCACCGCGGCTGCCTCCGCCGCGGCTCCCTCCTCGCGCAGCCCGGCCGCCGTGCGGCCCAGCTCGCCTTTCCGCGCGAGCAGCCTGTCCAAGCTCGCCCGCGCCCCAGCGACTGCGGAGCGGGCGGCGCTCGCCTCCCGCCACAGCGCCTCGAGCGCCGCCTCCGAGGCACCCTCCAAGCCCTCGCGCTCGGCCGCGCGCGCCTCCGCCTCGAGCGCCGCCGAGCTGGTCAACCGCATGGCATGGCATTTGGTATCCGCGGCCTGGCTGGAGACGTCGAGGAGCAGGGCGCGCTCCCGCCGCAGCGCCTCGGCCAGCCGCTGCTCCTGCCGGCCGCATAGGTCGACGAGGCCCTGCTGCGAGGCAGCCTCCTGGGCAGCCTCGTCGAGCGCTCTGCGCGTGGCTCGGGCGCCCTCCGCCTCGGAGGCTGCGGTGTGCTCCTTCGACGAAGCCGCGGAGATGCACTCGAGCGCGTGCCGAGCGCGCAGCCCTGCGGCCGCCCCGGCGCCCCGGGCCTGCATCTCCGCGAGCGACAGCTCCTTGCCCAGCAGCTCGAGCTCGCCGCGGGCACTGCCGAGCTCCAGGGCGGCGTCGCGGGCCTCGTGCCACGCCGCCGCCTCGGCCGCCTCGGAGTCCCTCGAGCGCTGCTTGTATTCCACGGCCTCCAGCCCCAGCCTCGCCAGGGCCGCCGCCCAGCGGCCGTGCCCCTCGAGCGCCCCGGCGAAACGCGACTCGAGCGCCTCGAGCTGCGCGTCCAGGGCCGCCTGCCGTTCTGTGCATCGCTCGAATCCCACGCTGGCTTCCCCCGCAGCCCGGCGGGCGGCCCGAGCGCGCCCCTCGCGCTCCAGCTGGCGCCCCGCGGCCTCGGAGAGCTCGGCCTCGCCCTGCGCGGCGGCCAGCTCCAAGCCGCGCACGGCGCTCGCGGCCTCGGCCTCGGCGGCGCCCGCGCTCGCGAGGCGGTCGCGCAGCTCGCCCGCGGCCGCCTGCGCGCCCCAACACTGCCCCGTGCACTCCTCGAGCTCGGCCGCCCGCGCACCCAGGGCGTGCTGCCGGGCCTCGCCCTCCAGCGCGAGATCCCGGCACTCGCCCTGTAGCTGTGCCACCTCCACGCGGAGGTCCGCCAGCTCCCTCGCGCTCACGCAGCTGCTCAACAATTCCGCGTCCGAGGGCGACTTTGTCCCGCATGCCCCTGGTAGGGCGGCGAGATCTATACATATCCACTGCTCCCTGGCCAGGCCCAGCCTGAACCCAGCAGCGGTGCATACGCCACGCCCTCCTGGCTTGGCCAGGAGGGCGTATACACAGCTCGTGAGTTCAGGATGGGCCTGGCTGGGGAGCAGTGGATATGTATAGACCTCGCCGCCCGACCTGGGCCGTCGCACCCCTGCGCCCAAGGGTTCCCTGGGACGCGGCGGCCGTGCTGGCCGGGCGAGTGCAGCCGCGCGGTCGCGGAGCCGGGCGTCGCCGCCGCGGCCCACCCGGCGAGCTGCGCCGGCGTCGGCGTACCGAGGCGGCCGCTCGGCGGCCCCGTCGCGGCAGGCGCTGCGAGCGGCGGAGGCCGCGCGCTGGCGGAAGACTCCATGAGGCGCAGGCGGCTGATGCGTGGCTGCTGCTCGGCGCAGTCGCCCCTTCCCCGGCAGCACCCAGACACCTGAGCCAATATGACTACTGGAAAATGATAAAGGGGAGGAGGCTCCTACAGGCCATTGCTTTCATCACACTGGGCGCTCCCTTTAAAGACCAATTCCCCGAGAGACTGCTGTTCAAGTGGAAATCCCGTTTTGAAAAAGAACAACCATACGGAATGCGGAAACGTATGATCATACAGTTCAACGAGATATACAACGAAGAACCCCCCGTTGTGAACAAGGACCGTCCATATATGTGTAACCGTTGCGCAAGTCAGAACTCACGGTCATGAATTTCGAGTCAGTTTCAAGCGAGATCCCCATCCGTCCGTGCAACTGCTGCATCTGCTCAAGCTTCTGGTCTTCAGATCGAAGGAAGTCTCGAGCGAAAACCCCTTTTGAAGAGGAGCAGTCGTCCACCCCTGTAACTGTCGCCGACGTGTCAAGTGAGTGTGCGCGGCGCTGGGGCGAGAGGCCCACTTCGAACAGAAGGCACCTGCCATCCCTGATACTGTCGCAAGCTCTCAAGACGAATGCCCGCGGCGCTGGGGCGAGAGCTCCATTTTGAAAACGAACCCCCTGATGGGGGAGGGGGAGGACAGGGAAGGGGAGGACGGGAGGACGGGAGGACGGGAGGTGGACGGGAGGACGGGAGGACGGGAACACGGGAGAACAAAAGAAAAGGGAGGACTGGAGGTGGAGGACGGGAGGACCGCTGCCGACGGCCTCGTCATCACGAAGGCTTCCTCCTCGTCGCACCACCAGACGCGTCGGCACGCGGTCTTGGCGCTTCGCCCGGCACGCGCTCACGGTCGGCGGCGCCCCAGAACTTGGCATGCCCAACGGCTCTACACGGGCGGAGGACTCGTGGCTTTCTTCAACATTTGCTCGTCGCTCGGGAGCTCCTCGCACGCTTCACCACAGAAAGATGCCGTCAACGGCCCCACGAGTAGAGGCCGCACGGTTGCCAGACTCCGGCTCTCGCTCGGGAGTTTCTCATGCCTGGTGGTCCGAAAGCTGGGGAGATTCCAGACAATTACGCAACGCAGGCGGGTGGCGGGTGGCTTCCAGGTTCCATGAACTGCACGGGAGGAGGGCGCCTCCTTTTCAAGCTCGCGCTCCCGCCCCAACCTCCTTCAGAAACCACGGCCCGAACGCTCGAACGGTCTAACAGCTGCACGGAGGGACGCCGGCCTCCCTCTCAAACTCACTGCGCTGTGCCACGTCGTGCGGCCGAGCGCTTCTTGCTTCATGATCAGCAGTGCGCACCGCAAGACGGACAGTACCGTGGATGCCGTGGCTCTCCAACTGAAGTAACTGTGCCACTTCTTTTTCTCGGATAGTGGAAATACGCAGCCCATGTTCGTCGCAAGGCTGTCCTACGAACGTGGCCGAAACTCCGGCCAGGGATTCGGCCAGTAAAAATCTGACCCTTCGAACTCTCCCGCGTTCCAAATGTGTTGCGCTAAAGACGCGGCCCGGCCTCGGCAAGGCTTGATGTATGGCGAAGGAGAGGGCAACGGAAAAGAGAGGAGGATACGGAGCGTTTGCCTCCCATGGGCAACCACAAGTGCGCCCTGCCCCTGCATGTCAGATTTCTGAATGGGGTTCAGAATCCGAAAGACCACGAATGAGTCATCGTCCTTCTCGGTCATCGCCAAGTCGTGGATCACCATCGCGAATCGGCGACGGCAGGCTTGTCCTGTGACGACCAATCAAGGCTCCGAAGCTGTTGTCTCACGCAGGTTCTGACTGCAGCGTTCGATGCTACCTGCACGCATACTTGCGCGAATTCCGAATTAATCGCGGATATTTCGTTTGCTCTTTTGTCCGTTCCTCTTCGTAAGCGACGTCATCTAATCGCCAGCAATCAAATATACCATATTCCAATGCTGGCGCTTTCTGTTATTGTCCATTCAGCACCTCGATTGCGATAGCGGTCTCATGAGAGCATCTGGGTCCTTGGCAGTGTGGAACATCGAAGGGATGTCCTCTCTCTCCGACAAAAGGATTACATGCGTGGCCGTTCGCCTCTGCGCTGGTTGCGAGTGCTCGCTGGGGCAGTCGCACTCGTTACCTCAATAGACAACTTTAGTATGTCGTCAACCACATCATTCTAGTCTGTTGCCAAGAACGGCACCCCTAGGCCCAAAAAGGTGAGCCATTCGCTTTTGGTACTGTATAATGTTCCAGATGCCTCGACTACTGTACTCGGGATCCAATCCTCCTTCTTTTGGTCCTGAGCGTTGGGCTCTGGCCGTTGGCTGTTCTGATGGAGGGGCCCGGTCGTCGCCCCCGCCGCCAGCTGAGCCGGCGGCAGGGGGATCAAGACACTCCCCATCATCGGCTGATCGGTTAGAACCTCGTGCAGATCCCTGACTGGTTGGTGCATTGCCCTTTCTGGCGCTCCTTCCGGCGCCATCGGATGGACCTCCTTCCACGTGGACATCAATCACTTCCACGTCGCCGAGGACACTGACAACGGCCATTTTGAGGGAGTGATAGTTCCCGAATTTGTCTATAATCTGCTCGGCTAGGCGGGCTCCGCAGCCATGCAGCTGGATCCCATTGTCATCGGGTGATTGGGCAATCCGTTGCTCCTGGGCATGGTCTTGCCGTTTCTTTTGCTCGTTCTGCTTCTCTATCGCTGGACACTTCCACCTGGCATTATGTTGCGGCGGTTCCTCGGTGCCGGGGGCAGCGCGCACAGACTTCGCACGTTTGCTGATAACTGCCATCCTCTCGCGAGGGGGGGGGGGGGGGGGGGGCAGCCCAGCTCGCGGGCCTGCGGTCGCAGCGACCGCGGGCCCCCGAGCCAAAACAACAGCAGCGGCGCGGGCATTCGGATCGCACGCGGGCGTCCGATTACGCGCGTGAACGGCGCGCGCCAAAACCGCATGAATATGCTTTGCAAGTGCGTCGGTCTAATCCTCGGCCGGCTTGAAGTCCCCCCCCTTCGCCTCGACGCGCGCGCGCGCCATCGCGACGTCGACGCAAGCCGTTTGCGACTTCTGTCGACGCGGATGCGATCGCCCACGGTTTCTTCACGAAAGTGCCCCGCGTATCTTGTCATCCATGCGCGCGCCCGTGCAACCTGCGTTTCTGAAACTGAGTAGCGCGAAGGAAGTGTCACGCTTGTGGGCCCCTTCAAACTTGGCAAGCTGTGGGCCATTCTATGCCTGCCGTTCCTCCCCTCGGCAATGCGGCGGTTGCAATGTCTCGGAGATCCAAAAACAAGTTCCCGAATGCCGTTCGAACTCCACGTAGGCGCCCCGACGATCTAGGGCCCCAGGCCCGATATTAAACGGATTCGCCCACGCGCTGCCGGGAGGCCCCCCCCCCCGCGCAGGGAACTGAAACCGATGGCAAGATATGTTCCCCCTTGAAGGTTCTGACATCATTGAAGGCCTCACCCCTCCCAGCGATTGCAAGCAGCACGTCCTTTTCGCGGTGTAGCGCGGCGCCATGCAACTGGCACGGCATAAATTATTAGGGTTGCCAGCGTCATTGTGTTCGATACAACAAAATTCGAACATCAAATGTCAAAGACCAGAATGTTGTCTCGGAGCTTTCCCTGGGGCCATCCCGCTGGCACAACGCGCTGGCAACTGAGCCGCCCGACGCGCTGCTAGCGGCCGCGACTCCGTCAGTTCCGTTGGACAAAGCTGATATGCCTACGACTGGTCTGCCTTTGCCAGCGCGCATGACCTCGCGCGCCCTCTTGCCGGGTAGATGGGCACCCGCGTGCGCGGCCGCCATGGGGCCGACAGCGGGCTTCAAACCCTCCCCCCCCCCCCCCCCCGAGGTTTCAGGGAAGGTCCATCAGCGAACGTTGGTGCAATGTACTCTTGGTGATTTCTGAGTTCCCAAAACTTTGGGTCATGATATTGACCGGGCATGAAACTTTAATCCATGCTAATGAGTCCGTGAGACATTTTGCCCCTATGTCGGCAGCCCCATGTTGCGTCTTCCGCATTGCAATCCCACAGTGCCACGGATGAATTGCTCAGAGACGGCGGCCGTGTCAAATCTGCGCGCGCGGGGCGAATGCACTCACGCGTTGCCCCCCCCCCCCGCCGTGGTTACCTTGCGCGCTGCCTGGTTTCCTTCAGGGAACACTTAGGCGTTCCCCGAAGTAGAACTTACAACAAAGGACGTGCAGTCAATAATTCGGCGCGCAATGCCAAATATGCTGCCACGATCTCCGCCTCCAGAGTAGCATGGGGCACGCGTGTTTGCCATCTAGAGGCCGCGCTTTGATTCAACCTCGTGCGCGGCCCCCAAATGACTTGATGGCTGTCGCCTGTACTTCTGCGAGTACGGATGTCGCTGCCCATGCCCGCATCAGTATGCTGTTGGATTCGAACATCTTCCGTCTTGTCACCGACCTAAGAAACCATCCGATATGGCATGGTCGTTTAGATGTTACATATAAGTCTACAGAGGATCATGTCCTTCTGCTCTGCCCACTTCGCCACGCAACTGGCGGCCTGACAAACTACCCTCAACAGGTCGCATCTGGCCACGCGGGCCCCGTGCAGCATCTTCATCAACACCTTTGCAGCGATGGGATGCAACATCCCCGAAGGTCGGATTGCTGCACTACTTGGCACGCGAGATTTGCGGGCAATCCTCTGGCCGAAATTTCATGGCCTGGGAGGCCAAACTTAGCTGAAATATGAAGAGCTTGTGCGAGAGCCTCTTCGGCGGGGGATGTCATCTCTCCCCTGGGGCCCCCTGTTGGCCATCCTCTAGGTCGATCATCTCTGGCCCAAATTGCGCACCTTGTGATGGGCGCGCCACAGGGTCTGCATCCGCGAGCTGTGCGCACAGAAGAATACAGGACTCAAAGAAATCTGTCGCGTCGTATCCGATGACCAAGACTTCCTGGGCCGATCTCGGCGCGCACGGTCCGATCGGCGTTTGTAGACTACACGGGGAGCTCTCATTTCTGTCGTCTTCCCCGCTGGCCCCCCCCCGAATCGCCCACCGACGTCTTC